TGAAATAAGCCATGGGGAGGGACACTCGTGCCGTGTCTCCTGTCCAGAGCTGGCATCCTCCAAATGCTCCCTGCTGGAGCAGAGGGCTGGGAACCTCCTGTCTGCTCCCTGTCCCAGCATCTCCTGAGCCCCAGTCCTGTCCTTCCACCAACAGCAGGCAGGGGAACACCACTATCCCTCTTGGCCAGCCCAGGAGGGGGCATGCAGGACGTGCCTGCTGTGCCACATCTGCCAGGCACTGCCCCACACCCACGGCAGGAGCAGCACCCGGAGCTTCAGCCCCAGCACTTCTGCCAAGGACTTGGAATGAGGCACAAGCCAGTGTTAGGGACACTGTGCACGCTGTGATGTGAAGGTGAGAGGCAAAGGAAAGCCCACGAGGGAAGGAAGCTGAGAGAGGAGCCCGTGAAGGCAGCTGGCAATGAAAAGGACAGGAACAAGATACATTTAGGAGATGAAAAGCCTCCTGTGCAAGAGGTCAGATTGAAAACAAGCAGAGGGAGAGCTACCAGGGACCATAACTCAGCTTCCAAGCACTGATCATTTGCTTTCAAGTCAGCCTGGCCTTTCCCACCTGCTGGAATCATCCCCCAGCTCTCCCATCGCTGGCCAGACAAGATTATAACTACTCCAGAGTCGAAATTTCTCCCCTCTGCACATCACTAACAAGTCATTTTATAAAGAAGTCCAGAGAAGAAACATATCATCTAGTATAGATGAGGTTTTTAAAATTCCATTTGCCTTCCCTCTGTATGTAAATCTGTGCTGATCTGATGAGGCTCCTATTTCCTGGATTAGACACGTCAAACTTTGCAAAAACGAGCGTACCCTGGTGGTTTCACTCTGTGTTTCACAGCCCTCTCTTGACCGTGCTGCCATAAATATTTCAGAGACCTGCCCACCGCTGTCTGAGTTAGGTCCAGGTCAGCAAGAAGCCAATGGTTTGGACAGTGATTAATTCAGCAAGGCAATTAGCAAGAGCTGCTGCAGCTCAGGAGATCCCAGTGAGCAGCGGGAGCACAGCACCCACAGACAAGGGGCAAGGGGACCCTGGCAGCCACCACGTCACCACCATGGGCCATGGCACAGCACTCCTGAGCCAAAGGCATCCCTCCTGCCTCCTTCCTCCTCCAGCTTTAGGAATTTCTTCTCAGCTTAAAGCAGCACCGGCTCATTTGGCCACCGAAATCTCCCGGAAGACAAGACTGGCAATGAAACTGGACTGAGTTATTCCCCATCCTCAGTCCTGCTCTTCCACAGCAAGTCCTTCAAAGCAGCCTCTGAAAACACCTCCCCAACGTGGCTGCCTTGAGAATTGTGTTTGCACAGGTGTAAAACCTTGTTTGAGCAGCAAATGAGACGGGAGAAGACCCGTGACAAGTCGGAGCAGCAAAGACAGCCCTGAGGATCCTCAGGAGCTGCAGCCATGGATATTTAAATGCCAAGCAATGTATCACTGGCTCCCTGCTGAACACAAGATGGTTTCATCTCTGCAGAAGCAGCACCAACAGCATGCTCACATCAGCTTCACTCTGGCATCCTGACCAGCAGCAGCAGCTATGGCTCCTTGGTTTTTAACTGTGATATAATCAGGCACTTGAGAAAATGAGTCTGGGCAGCACAAACGCTGGGGAGTCACTGCAGGTTCAGCTCTGCAAGGCAGAGCTTTAACCACAGCTGAAGGTGAAGGCCAGCCAAGCTCCCTGCTCTGCCCTGAGACATCAATCCAAACCCCAGAGAGATCCACGCTGCACCGTGCCAGTCACGGTGCCAGGCTCTGCTCCATCCCTCCGGCCTGCAGGCAGCAGAGGCAGCCTCCCTGCCCCACTGCTGCCTGTCTGCAGAGCAATCTGTAAATATTTTGATGGTTTGGGCAGAGGAGGTTCTCACTTGTCCATCTGGATTGGAAACTGGACTCATTAACTCCCAACTGTCAGCTGGAAAACCTGCCAGAGGGTTTCTGCCACATCAGGGAGCTGCAAAGTGCTGCTGCCATGGGCATGGGCAGAGCAGAAGCCCTGTGGGGCCCCAGCTCTCCCCTCATCACTGCTGGGGGCGTGATTAACCCCCTTTTCCTTTCCCAATTAAACCCCTGCCTCTTATATCCTTTTTCTGAACCTTCACAGGAAAGTCTTTCCAGAGGAGCCTCTGCTGGGTGGAAAATTTCCCACCCTAACGCTGGGTGGAAAATCTGCTGCTCAGTGATACAACTAGATGGTCTGAGCAATCCAACTTCCAATCATTATCAGGGATGCTAAACAAAATATTGGGAAATTTGGTGCCCAAATAACAAAAGCAAAAAGAGGTTCCAGCTCCCAAGGGTCCTATCTCCTGGAGAAAGTGTATTCTGAAAGGAAAAAGACAGCAGAGGAAGCACAGCTTCCAACAAGCTCTGTGTCTGTGCTGGAAGGAGCAGTCACCTGTCCATAAGGAGTCTGAGCAGGGATGTGAGCCTTTGTTCAGAGGACACCACAGTCCCACTCACTGAACCCCAAAGAACCCGCAGGGTCCTGTGGACTCCAACCACAGACAGAAGGAAAAGCCCCACAGATGATGCCAAGAAGTCCAATAGCAGAGGTGCTGGAAGCCTTTCTGAGGCACATGTTCTCCTTTCAGTCTGAGCCCTGCACCTGGTGCATTATTTAGTGCCGAGGGAGAAAGAAGCAATGCCTAACCAAGTGTTAAAGGGCTTTGGGAAGTTTCACCAACCCTTCCAGAGCCATCAGCTCCGGCTGCCTGGCAGAAGAGACAACTGGTCTTGCTTCCAGATTACAGGCAGCACAGCTCTTAGGGCAACTGTCTCTCTGTGTTTGCATCCAGCTACCTCCAGCAGCTTGAAGTGTGCTCAAAGTGCAAGGAAGCACTTGATCAAAATCCAGCTCACACTGTAGACAGCGAGGAACAAGCGCCTAAAGCGTTAGAGATACAATAACAATCGAATTTGGGGGGGGATTTGACAGGTTACAGGTTGATGACACTGCTGCAGTCTCGGTGGAAACGTGGATTGATGCAATTAGCAACAGGGAACTAGAAACTCAGCAGAGGAAAACTGGGAATGCATCTATAAAAGATGAGCTGCTGCACCACTGTAGAGAAGCACAAAAATCCTGCGTGAGCTCCGAACAGGAACAAGTTGAAACAGGAGTGAGATGGGGGAAACGCAGCTCCAAGCTCCCTGCCAGCGTTCAGAAGTGTAGATCCAGATTTTAAATTCAAACATTCGCTTCCCCCAGAGAGACTGGCCCAGTTTGCCGCAGGGATAGGGCGGGAGAGGGGGTACCCTGGAGAGATGGGCAGCAGAAGGCAAACCCCTGAGCCCAGCCCAGCCAGGCTCTGCTCGGCTTCCACTGGGTGCAACCACATGGAAAACACAGCAAGATGCAGAAGCAGGGCATGAGACACACTGCCAAGGCGTGGCTCTGCTGCAGCACCAAAAGGAGCATCCTTGTGCAGCCACAGCAGCTGCTCCCCTCGTGCCAGGCCCTGCCCAGCACAGAGCTCTGCTCACACCGGGACAGCCTCGGGGCCACAGGCTGCAGGGATGGGCTCGTGCAGGCATCCCCAGCCTTGGCCAGAACGTGCTGAAGGTGTGAGTGCCAATCCTCACAGAGATCTTGCTCCTGAGGAACCCCCAGGAGACAGAAACCCAGAATGGCAGTAGAAGACTCCTCTTTGTGCCATGTCCCCAGTGCTGGGATCTGCAGCAGCCAGAGCATGAGGTAGGACACCATTTAAGTCCTTACAAGAATAACCAAAATTACTCTCCTCTGCGAATACTGACAAGCTCCCCACTTCCACAAGCCCTTCCACAAGCGTGTGCCCAACATGGAATAACTACGGAAATGAAGCGGAATAAGGCACCCGAGCAGTGGAGAAGGAGCTTGTGAACAAACCCTGCAATGAGGTTTCTAATGATTGCAAGTATGTACATGTTCTGCTCCAACAAAGCTGGTGGGGATCTGCCAGGCTGAATAATGAGCAGGGACACCACACGCCTTCCATACATAATGGTACAGAAATGGAATGTAAGTATATACTGCGGCTTTGTGGAACACAGGGGCTTTTGTAGCCATTTATGTTATACAAAGATTTACATTTGGAAAAGCCATTCTGCTATATTTGGCAGAAATTTCAAGACAAATGGAACCCATACTTATTCATTCAATGCTAATACCGAGCACAGGATAAAGCTCTTAAATTCAGAGCACTTTATAAAAATTAAGGACTACTTAGTTCACCCTTGTGAGGTGGGAAGGTATTACACCTGCATATACATGAGGACACCAAAGCACAAGTGGATTAAACAGCTCGTCCAGAACCCCAGAGACAGGCTAATTGTTGAAATATGTATGCACACGTGCATCTGTGTGTGTTGGAATGGGTTTGGCCCCTCCAGAGCCTCCCCAGCATGCGGAGGCCAAGCTGCTCTGCTGGGCTCCTCTCACCATCGAGTTCCAGGCACATCTAATGAAAGACACCAACCCAAAGAAAGGGAAGAGATCTTTTTGTGGTTTGCACGGATGGAAATAAAAGCTAGCTTTCAAACAGCTGAGGAACAGAAAACCCATTGTTAAAAAGCTGTGCAGTGCTCCAGCAACAGCTCCTAATCAGCTTGCCACTGAGCAGCTCCACACCGGAGCTCAGCAGACCTGAGAATCCACGTGCCAACAAATGTTATAAAACCCAGCCCTGGACAAATGGAGAGAGAAAGGGCTGTGGAGCCAGTGACAGAGACAGCCCCTCACCCCCAAGGGGGGCTGGCAGCCCACTCCTCCTGTTCTTTGAGGCCACAAGTGGCCTCAAAGCCCTGGAGCAAGCGCTCCCCTGGTCGGACACTTTGGTCACGGCCCCCAGTCCCTGCCCTGGGTCACCCAGTCCTCCTCCGGTGTGAACAGCAGCAGAACATTGTCAGGGGAACAAACTCTGAGTGTCTGCAGGGCTCCTGCCAGGGCTGGCAGGTGGGGCTCCAGAGGATGCTATAATTAGCCAGCAGCAGTTACCTGGACGCAGGGATTGCCACTGATCCGTGGGGTAAAACACTTCCAGGTCCTCAGGATCAGCGTCATCCTCTGTCACCGGCTCCTTCCCACTGTCATCTTTTATGTCGCTCTCTTCTATTTTTGTAAGGGCAAACTCCTTTTGGAGAGAAGAGATTCAGCTCATTAGCAATTGCATCTGGGTAATTTAGTGATGGCTGAGAATACAAAATTTTTTCCCTCGCCAGCAGATTTTTTTTTTTAATTTTTTTTTTTTTTGACATCCGAGATTCTTTCCACATGGTTAAATTTAGATTTAAAGTATATTAAAGGTTAAACATGCATAACTAGCATGACATTTGTGCTGAACAAAGCAATGCAGCTTATTTCCTATTCCAGAACAGGTTGCAGGTTTCAAACCAGCTCTCACAGAGCCTCACCTGTATTTCAGTCAGAGGCAGGAGCCCTGGCTATTATTAGGGTTGTGTAACATCGTAAGACCCCATTTTCCCTTGCCTAAAAATATGTCAAACTTTTAACTTTTTCAGCTGAAATTTTCCACATGAGTGGAATGCCTCAGGGCTTGTTGGTTGGTTTGGGTTTTTGGGGGGTTTTTGTTTTGCTGGTTTTTGCTGTTTTTTTTTTTTTTTTTTTCTTCTTAAATGCACTTATTTCAGGCTTGGAGAAGATTTCAGCTAAAATAGTTCAGCTCTTTCCAAAATAGGACACAGGAAAAAACACACCGAGTTGCCCACATGATACAAATGTGAGGATCCTCTTCTCCACCCGCTCCCAGTGTTCTCCAAGTCTTTTAAAACAATGAGGAAGGGATTTAATCACCACCTCCATGGCAAGTGCAGCACGAGGCTGGCAGAGGTGTGGGAGAGCAGCCAGCACGAGTGGCTCCACGTCACAGCAAAGGAAGAACAGGGGAGAACAGCAGGGGGAAAAAATCCTTGCTGTGAGGGAAACCTTGGAAAGCTCCCTAGGGAGCTGGTGGGAGCCACATAAAACTCTGCAGAGTGCACAGTAATGACCTGTACTCTCACAGCAGGCACTGACTCCTGGGTCTGAGCTGTCCTGGTTCCAGCAGGAACAGAGAACTGGCCCAGGTTCATCATCCCCACAGCTCAGTGTCTGCTGAAGGGAATATTTTCAGCTTCTGAGATCACCAATTCAGTCACTGCTGAAGAATTTGAGATAACCACCCTACAGGGAATGATTAGTCCTAATTGTTGGCAATTAGAATAGAGTTACAGCTCACTTCATGAGGTGTTTGGATATTAATCCTTAGGATATTTTCACAGGGAAAAACATAAGTAAATTCAGAGGTTAACTGGAAATTCTGGGACACATTCTGCCTTCAGTTCTTCCACTCTTTGGGAAGAAATGCATGCACATTTTCTGTCAGAATTTGGATGCTCTGCATATAAATATCCGTTTCCAGCCTAGAAGAGTCTTTTTGAGCAACAGAAATGTCAACCTGAACAAAACACGCACAGTAGCAATGGCAGTGTGGATGTGGCACTTGGGGACGTGGGCTGGAGGTGGCCTTGGCAGTGCTCAGGTTGTCCTCAATGATCATAAAGGTCTCTCCCAACCTAAACAATTCCACAATTTCGTGATTGTGGTAACACACAACGATGGCTGACAAACCTATAGAATGTTTTTATTTCAGCTGTGGAAAGGGACTGCAATTTCAGAAATGGACGAAACCAGATCTTAACTCCTGCTTTTGCTGAGTGCATCAGGGGCTTGGAATTGTTCAAATTATAACAAACGGTTAAAGCTCAGGAACAATCACAGGCATAAAAGCCCAGGTTCTGCAGATGAAAATCAATGTTAACATTTTCTGAGCCAAGACTCAACAGGACTAAAAAGGAGTGAGTGGAACAGTTATTACTTAGCTGATTTCCACGGCTCTGTGATTATCCAAGAGGGAGTTAGTGATACAGGCTATTGTAAATTTACCACCAGGCCTCCCAGTGCTGGATCTGTTCAAACACATAATGGAGACAGCTGATGTTTACCGGCCCTGCTCAGGAAAAGTGCCGGGGTTTAAATGCTCAGTAAGGATAAAAGGATGTGACTTGGTTCATTTAAGTGTTGCTGTCACTGCCTGGCCACAGTTGCTTTGCAATACCCCATTTCCATTAGCGTTTCCAGCAAAAAATGGGCAGCACCACACAAGCGATTCTTCATTTGCACGGAAATCAGCAGAGCCCTTTTTCGGTTTGTTTTCATAATTCAAGCAGGAGAGAGAGATTTCCTAAAGAACAATGGGCATTTCCTTAAAGGCCAAAGAAGCATCCATGTTTTCTCAGTGTGAAACCTGCCTGGAGGTTACTTACAGGTGCTCTGTGGCTCAGGCTGGGGCAGGAGAAGAGCAGGGAGCCCAGCAGCAGCAGCAGGCTGGCTCTGGCAGCGGTGGAGAGGAGCCCGGCCCAGCGAGGCATCGCCACCAGCCTGAAATGCCAAACAAAACAAACCACACGGTTATTTTCCCCCCGTTTTTGCAGGTTTTTGGACTGTTCACACAACACTTTGTGGCGCAGCGTGGGAGTGGGGGTGTGACACGGCAGGAAGCACAAACACCTCGAGGTGTGAGCACTGGGGGTCCTGGGGCAGCGGCTCCCTGCTAATGGGGTTTGTGACAGGTAATGCCAAGCGCCTTATACCGACCCCAGGGGGGATAATATCTCTCCTGGAAAACATGAGGAGACCTGTAAGACTTGTTTGAAATTGCTGTGTCAGTGCCATGGATGACAACTACAGGGGAAAATAAAAAGCAATCCCATGAAGGCTTTTTATGCCTGTGCCTCATTTTAAGCGCAGAAGTAGCTGAGTTAATTCAAATTAAACAAAACGACCAGCTGTCCAAGGATCAGGGGTTTATCTAATCCATATGTAGGTTTTTCTTGAGGAAAACATTTTGCAGAGGTCAGCGAGGTTTACTTGGTGGTTCCTACAGCACAAGGCTTTCCTTGCTGCTCAGAGCAGCGGCTCAGCCGAGCCGTGGGGCCAGGAGCTGGCTCTGGCCAGGCTCAGGGGAACCAGGGCACAGAACCACCCCGATCTGCTGAACAAAAGAGGGGGAAAACGAAGGGTTCTGCTGTGCTGGTGCCAGTCCTGGGCACGGAGCTGGTGTGCCCACCCTGCGAGTGTGAGCACACACACGTGTGCCCCCAGCGCCTCGCCACACGAGGCTGGGGATCCACCCACGGCCTTCAGCTCGCTGCTGGGGTAGGGAGAGCAGCAGCCTGCCAGCACACAGGCTGCACAAGTGTTTCCTTTGATTGGCTCTAAATTTACACGCTGCTAAATTAAACTAAATGAGGTCTTTTGAAAGAAGATGGGACTGATTAGTTCCGTTCAAACACTCCTTCATTACTCATCCCTCCATCAAGTCTGCTCCTACTCCTATCCAGGTTTTAAAGAATTTCCTCCCCTACACGCAGTCCGAAATATCTTGCTTTGCTGTCCATCAGGATGGCACATCAGAGAGCAGAGTCTTCCCTCCTCGAAGCAACAGCTTTATGTCCCACAAAGCAGAAAACCTGCTCACAGCAGTACCCAATGCCAGCTCCTGCCACCGAAGAGCCTCCGCCCCCAGAAGCCTTCAGGGACATGGAGAGAAGCCTCCTCTCTTTCCACCCTTCCACTGGGACCTTGTCTCTCAACTCCATCTTGTCCCTTCTTCCTCTCCCTGTTTGCTTTTTGCCAGAAAAAGAAAAAGCAACCCCCCACATCCCCCTGGTCAGTGCTGGACAGGGGAGGGACAGAGAGGGGAGCAGAGGTAACAGTACACCTGATGTGCCAAAAACTCCTGAGCCAGAGCCTTCCTGAACAGCAGCCCCTACCTCTGAGCCAACTCTACCACATCAACTGGATTTTTCTCATTAATTTGCTTCAGAACAGATCTGGATTTCTGACACTCACAGCATCCCTGACCAATGAGTTCCCCTCCTTAACTCACACAGTGCAGGAAAGCATCACCTCCCATTTCCTTCTTCCATGTCTCCTCTTTCCCAAAGGGTCAAAGAACCACCTCGAGGACCCACAAGCCCTTATTAAACCACAGCTGGAGTAGAAGAAAAGCTCCCTGTTTTCATAAGGTAACCTGTGGCCACAGTCTCCATCTCTCTCCTGGGCCATGGCCAAGCAAAACCAGGCTCCAGCCAACACCAGGCTCCTGAGCTGGCACACCCAGAGCTCAATGCAGGCTCCAACTCCCTCTGCTCCCAGAAGATCTTCATCTCAATGAAGATCTCATGTCCTCAGTCCAGGGTGACCACGACACACAATTCCCTCTCATCTCAGAACAAACTGCTGCTTTTTACACAGGGAAAAGGTTTTTGGGTTTGGTTGAGGGTTTTGAGGTTTTTTTCAGTTATAAAACAAGCAGCAAAACTGGAATAATGAAAAATAGATGTATCTCTCAAACTTTATCTGCAAGCCTGGAAATAAAAAGAAAAAAAAAAAAAGAAATTCAACAAAGCAGTGGCTGAAAGCAAAGCAAACGCACACTCCCAATAAAAATAGAGCTCACGTGTACCGAGGAGGCTGGTAGCAAATGACAGCACAGCCTCTTTCAAGCCTCCAGCCTCCTGCCTGCCTGGCAGATGACATCTGCACAACAATTAGCACTTTGCTTCGGTCCCAGGTAGGCAGGAGGAGCCAACATGTGCAACTCGGGGCTCTGGAGCTCCTGGAGAGCAGCCTGCACCTGCTGACATCTCCTGACAGACAGACACACGCAGAGGATTTCCACACAGAATGTTCTGTGGACACAATGGATTTACAGAAACAACCCTTTGCAGCCTGCAAAGCAGAAGGGTGGTCATGGTGACCCCACCTGCACAAGGAATGTTTGCTTGGATTTGAGGGTGTCTTTGGGGATCCAGGAGCACTCACGTACAGCAGCCAGGCAGCAGCAAAAACCAGCCTAGGACAGCCACAAATCCCCCTTGTGCAGAGTGGAGGGGCTGATTTTTTTTTTTAATAATCCTTTTTTGTCAAACAAACTCAGGTACTAGGGAAAGAGCAAAGGGTCAGACTCTGAGAAGCCTCCACTGCTGGCAGTAATCCTCCTGTCAGAGGAGATGTTGCTGGCTGGGAGGTTCTGCTCCACAGCTCCCGAAATCCGCCAGCAGTGGCAGAAACAACAGCTCGGAGTTGTGTCCCCATTAGCAGGGCCATTTCCACTGGTGGCAGAGCTGTGCACCAGGGAGCTGCAGAGCCCCAGGAACGCAGCTCCTGTAGCCACAGGTGACAGCTCAAAGGGAGCCAGCGAGAGGAGCACATTTCATTAATGCCTCCTGCTGCTGGCAGCGCTCTGCGCTTTCATGTCCCGGCACAGAGCCCACGCTGCCTGTCCTGTGCCACTCCAACAAATCCGCCTGGAGCCTCATCTGAATTCTGATCTGCTGCTCCAGGAGAGCACACAGACCTCCCAGAGCTCCTCAGCCCCGTCATCAGCCTCTGGCTTTGCAGCCAGCTGGAAGCAGAATGACTGAATCACTGAGGTTGGAACAGACTTCCAAGACCATTGAGTCCAAGCTGTGCCCAATCCCCACCTTGTCCCCAGCCCAGAGCACTCAGTGCCACCTCCAGGTGTTCCTTGGACACGTCCAGGGATGGGCACTCCAAACCTCCCTGGGCAGCTCCCTCCAATGCCTGAGCACCCTTTCCATGGGGAAATTCCTGCTGCTGTCCGCCCTGAGCCTCCCCTGGCAGAGCCTGTAGGACATTTCCTCTTATCTTGTCCCTTGTTCCCTGTGAGCAGAGCCTGACTCCAACCTGGCTCCACTCTCCTGGAGAAGGTTCCCCCTGAGCTTCCTTTTCTCCATGCTGAGCCCCTTTCCCAGCTGCTCCTCACAGCACTGGCTCTCCAGCCCCTTCCCCAGCTCCATTCCTTCCCTGGACACTCTCCAGCCCCTCCGTGTTTTTCTTCCCATGAGAGCTCAGAACTGGACACGAGATTGGAGGTGCCTCAGCAGTGGCAGCACAGGGGACAGGCACTGTCCTGATCCTGCTGCCACACCAGTGCTGATACAAAAATACCAATTATCTCTAAGAAAAAACAATAACAACAAGCTAATCCTTCTTTTCATCTCAGGGTGACCTGAGGGAGCGGGATCAGTATTACAGTCTTGCAAAACTTGCCTGCAGATGAACTAACTCAGGCCAGGTTTCCCAGATGGGAGGTGGCAATGGCAGCTCCAGCAGCACACTGAGTATGGCAGCTCCCTCCATGAGTGCAGGGCACAGCTGGAAAACCTCGAGGAACACGGCCCAAGCACCTCCAGCTGAACCATGGCACAAAGACCCGCCAGCACTCTCAGCCTCTGCGGCTGAAGGGGAAGTTTCCTGGGCAACAGCAGCTCAGGAAATGATCTCCAGGCAGCCGTGCACAGGGGCTGTGGGACTGGAGAGGCTCTCAGGACACAATCACAGAGGTCCCCTTCACACACAATGTCCTTTTAACGGGTGGCATCCGGGCCAAGCGCAGTGTGATGGGCTAAGTCACAGTGCCACGGAGAAAGAGAAGGAAATTTAGCTGACCTGACCTGCAATTTTCCTCCTCTGAGCAAGAGGGTCCCCAGGTCTGTGAGGAGCACTCGTGTTTGCTGGTATGCTACAGACACCTTGGGAGCACCCTGTGTCCAGCTGTCCCTCCTGCTCAATGACTGTACAGGACACCAACAGGAGAAAGAGGAGCTTTGGAACTGAAACTCGGCCTCTCCTAAGAGAGGAAACAGCTGGTGGGCAAAAAGAGGATTACTGGGAGCCCACAGAGGATTACTGGGAGCCCACAGACTAATGCCCTTCCCCAGTCCCTATCTGGGTCTGCACAATCCTGTGCTTTCAAGCAGGACAACCTGCACACCCCATCACCTGAGGTCAATGCCCAGGCTGATCTCAGCAGCTCTGCTCCTCCAGGCAATGCCTTTAATTTCAGCTTTCATACTTTCCAGATTCTCTACTGCACTGGTACATAGCTCTGAACTTCATATCAAGTGTCGGCAAGCTCTCTTTACACTGTGGTCAGACACAACAATCCTTTTCCAGCCTCAGAACCAAGGACACCATTGCAGCTTCAGGCCCAAAAAGTATAACCAGCAGTGAATTGAGGAGAGCAACCTGGGAGGATGGGACTGCATCACCTGGAGCTGGAATTGCACAATGAACCCCAAAATGGAAATGGACCAAAACTGACTAAAGTGTGAAAATCTGTGACCTGGTGTCCATCTTGGGTCCATGTTTAGTATAGCCTCAGCCAGGCCCTTGTACTGCCCAAGGTGTATCCTTTGAAGGCTTTTTAGTAAATCCCTGCTTTATTCCTTTAACTCTGCCCAGCCTCTGTTCCAGGCAGCCTCTCAAGGCATCACAGGCAGCCTGTCCTCAGGAAAGCACCCTTGTGTCCCCAACCCACACAGGAGCCCACTGCAGTGAGAGCCCCAAGC